GCCGAATTTCCATTTACAAGAAACTAAGGTTAACCATTGTCCAGTTTGAATCCTCTTCACCTGCAATCATAAATGGAAATGTGAATCATATTTCTTTATAAAGCTAGTATCAAATGTGATGCAAAAAAAAAAAAAAAAAGACGTAAATTTGCAATTTCTAAAGGAACAAAAACAGAATAAACGCCTCTCCTAAGTCCTATGCACAAAAATAAGTAATTATTTTGGGAAAAAGTTTCTCTCTCTCACTGCTCATTGTTTGAGCTTCAAAGATCGTACGACACGATCCAAGCTCTACAAATTTCAAATCAGAGATACTTTTATATTCAAATTATTCCTAATATCTTCTATTTTTTCCGAGTGTATCTGTTTTTACACATACAAATACCATATACTATAAAGCTGTGTTTGGTAGGTCAATAAATTGTAGTACATATCCGATCAGGTGATATACCTGGTGGATTTTTTTCCTGGGTTTTCGATTTTGTCAAATGGGTCGTTGAGATTTTTGGTTTTAAAGGCGGTATTGTAGAGTAAGTAAACGCTGACTCGAGGGTTGTTTATAGCTTAGTTTTGTTATTTTTAATCTTCTATTATTGTTATTTTTTAGTTTTGATGATTTCGGTGGGTAGTATAGATGGGAGAAAATTGTCTGGTTTAGGGCTAGAAATGGAAGAGAACGAACTTGAAGAAGGAGAGGCTGGCTGTTTTCAGAATGATGGTGATGATTCCACCATTGACCCTGATATTACTCTCTCCTACATTGTAAGTTCATATTCTTTTTTAAATTTTTCTTGTAATTCAGTTCTTCAGTTTTTTAAGCTGGATGTAGTCTGATTTATAACAGATATCCTGTTCACTTGTCAATTATGTGTGATATTTCTGTTTATTGTTAGTTACTTATGCCTAATAATTCGGTAGCAAGAATATGTTAACAAAAGGCATACTATATTGTATTTTGGATAATTGGTATTTTGTATTTAATTGAATCTTGTTCAGATTTAGTTAAGGAAGATAAGAATACTGTGTTTGGGCATTATTTGTGATGTCTGCTAAACTGTTTCTAGCTTCTGAACTTCCAAAGATGGCTAGACTAGGACTAGAGATAATGATCTGTCATATAGAGTTGTGGAAGTTAGTCATTGTTGGTGTCTTGATTAGAATGTATACATAATGTGTTATTTTGCACTTTTTGAAGGGGGAGAAACTCCAAAATGTTCTCGGACATTTTCAGAAAGATTTTGAAGGAGGAGTTTCAGCTGAGAATTTGGGTGAGTTGACACAGAGTGACTGATCACATAAAATTCAAGGGTCACAATAATGTGGCTTAGAGTATGAAGTACTGATCGGGACTTTAATTGCTTAACAGGGGCAAAATTCGGTGGCTATGGTTCATTTTTACCAACTTATCAACGGTCTCCTTCTTGGACTCGTCCAAGGAGTTCACCCGAAGTTCATAACTGTAGCGAGCCCAGATTCCTAAACAATTTGAATTTGGAGGTAGATACTTTTAAGTTTGAATCTATATTTTTTCTGTTCATGATGTTTTACAGCACAATGGAATTAGGATTTGTCTCGCCTGACATGAAAATTCTGGTTTACTTGACCACTTTGAGTTAATACAATACAGGACGGTAGGGAAAACCTATTCGCTTCAACAAGTGATTCTCTATCGGTAAGGCCTGGAGCATCTTCAAGAAAGACTGCAGCCATATGCGATTCTGTGAAAAGGGATGTCTCCACCCTGCCTACACATGCTGAAGAGCTCACTTCAAACGTTGGGCTTGTTAAGAAGTCTGGTAATCCTTCTGAACAAAGAACTTTGAAAGTTCGAATCAAAGTTGGTGCTGAAAATTTGTCAACACGACAGAATGCTGAAATCTACAGTGGACTTGGTCTTGATGTATCTCCATCATCTTCATTAGATGATAATCCAGTAGTTAGTGAAGGTTTATGTGGTAACAATCAGGATGTGCCGGACGAATCTCCTACTAGTATTCTTCAGGTGAATAATAGTCCCTTGACATTGATCTCAACTTTCTGATTCTTTCTTTTTTATGGTAGATTAACCTGATATTATGAGGTTTGTTTTGACATTGTACTATTACTGCATTGGAACAGATTATGACATCATTTCCTGCCCGCGGGAGCCTTCTTTTATCCCCTCTATCCGATGATCTGATTCGTCTCTTTGAAAAAGGAAAGCTTAGGGGGAAGAGTCAATCCAAATTCGTGCATAAAGAAACCTTGGAAAGTTCTGGGATGTTATTCAGTGGGTCTCTGTCTAGTAGGAGCAATCAGAAAGTTTTAAACCTGAAGAAATGGAAGTCATCTGAAAAAGATCGCACGTTTTCTACACAATTCATCAATGAGAAGAACAATGATATTCCGCTGAAGGGGGAAACTGATATTGACGATTTAGGTTGTGAGGAACTTGTTTCTAATGCTCTTAAACTCCCGCTTTTATCGAGTTCACAGCATGGTGATGGTAATCCTATGAACGGTACTTCTAAGGAGGTTGATATTTCCTCTAAAGATGGGGTGAAGGACAAAACCTGCTCTGGACCGATAGAGAAGGAAAATTTCGGGAGTTTGTTTGCTCAAGATATTGACAGTGTTGAGGAGTACGATGAAGATCTGCATCCACCTGACAAGGTTTGCGAAAATAGAAAAGAAAATTTTGGGATCGACAGTGTAGCTTGTCCACAGGATGATGCCCAAAAAGCAGAGAAAGTTCAGTTTGAGTCAAATTTCTGTAAGGGGAGAAAGGCTCCTGCTGCCGAAGCCAAACAATTAGCAGTTCAGAAAGACGGTAATGAGGACGGTGTGAAACTAACTCCTGGAAAGGAGCAGATATCTTCAGCGTTCAGGAAGAAATCAAAAGGAGTTTGGAGTGGAGGTTCTCAAGTTTCAGGTGTTTCAAAAGATCAGCAAATGCATGATTCTTCTTTGATGCCTAAAAATAGGAAGAGCTCTTTTGGTAACAATCTTATGTCTAAAAATGATTCACTTGATTTCAAGAGAGACCATGGAAAGCCTGGAGACAGATATAAGGACTTCTTTGGAGACCTAGAACTTGAAGAAGAAGATAGTGAATCGATTTCAGGGGAAATGCCTTCCTCGAGAAGGCTGAAGGACTCTCAGCTAATTGAAAAAAGAAGCATTGTTGAATGTCATACTGCATCAAAGGAGAAAAGCGATGTTAAAAAAATTGAAAAGCCATCTCCTTATTCTGCAATGGCTTCGAGTATGGCTCCTCAAACTGTAAGTGGGCCCACTTCTGATGCTACGCCTGCAGGAGTGGTTCCTTTCGTCCAAGAAGATTGGGTCCTGTGTGATAGGTGTCAACAGTGGAGACTTCTTCCACTTGGTACAAATCCTCAGAGTCTTCCTGATAAATGGCGTTGTAGGATGCTCAACTGGCTGTAAGTTTTGTCAATGTTATATTTATAAGCTAGTCATTGGCTAGTAAAAAAGAAAAACAATTTATCTCAAATATATATGGAATAAGGCTTAGTTTGTTTCAGTAAGCTGCTCCGAATGACACTGTGTGTGTGTACTCGACTCTTGATAATTTGAATATTTCTCTAGGCCTGGAATGAACCACTGTAGTATCCCTGAGGAGCAGACTACAAAGGCTTTACGTGCCCTCTACCATCTTGCTCCTACTTCAACTCCTGCTCCTGCTTCTGAGAGTCAACACAATCCGCTTAATTATCCTGCTAGGACTTTGTTGGGAGTGTCATCAGCTGATGCTAAGTGCCTTGGTGAAGACCAACAAAATATTGCTTCCCAAGGTACAGTCAGTGGGAAGAAAAAACATGGGTCAATAGACATGACAAATTCAAAAGACTTGGATGATCCCACTCACTTTTTGGACTCTCAGAAGAAGGACGTTAAGGTACCAGGGAAAAATGGAGCGAACTACTCTCCTTCTGTCGATGCATATCAGCATTTGCGCCACTCTAGTAGTGTAGTTGTAGAGAAGCGAAAGGATAATAAGAAAGAGAAAAAATCATCACTAGAGGGCCATTCTGATAGAGGTATCTTAATTCAGTATGACTTTCCACTTAGCTTCTTGAACTTCATTATCTGGAATTATCTAAATTTTGTCTTTAATATTTGTAAACAGGTACAAATTCAAAGGTAAAGAACAAGAGAGAGTCTGATTCAGAGAGCTTCAGAGTTTCTAAAAAAGTTAAGAGTGAGAATGTTCATTTTGGTGATGAAAATTGGACCTCTGACAATGGTGGAGACTTTTCAAAAGCAGGCCGTAATTCAAGTAGTGGTTTGTTAATTAATGCTTCAGGGACTGATCGAAGAAAATATGCCAACCCTATGGGTTCCAGGGGCGATGCAAAGAAATCAGCTAAGAACCCAGAAACCAAACCAGGGACTTCAGGTGATGGTTTGCTGTGGACGAGAGAATATGATTGTCAGGACTCTGTTAAGAAGAGGAAAGCGAATGAATATCGTGATTTGCCTAGTGCTGAACAACATCCCAAAGACCATGAGGATTTTATCGAAGAAACCCATGAAAGTAACCACGGTAAAGAAAAGAAAACAAAAATATCCAAGTCCGAGGGAAAAGACACCAGCAGAAGCAAAGGCAATGTAGCAATGGACAAAAAGAGTAGGGGTATGAAGGACCAACAAATCGAAAATGCTGCAGATTATTTGAACAGTAATATGGGTTCCATACAGTCCTCTGCTGCTGCCAACTCAAGCTCTTCAAAGGTTTCTGGATCATGTAAAAACAAACCCAGTGTCCGCAAAATGAAAGGTTCCCCAGTTGAATCAGTGTCTTCATCACCTTTTCGGTGTCCTGATGCAGATAAGTTTTCATCAGCAGGAAGGAACCCTGTCCTCAAAGATGAATTTCAGGACTCTGGAATTTTGACTTTGGCTAGTCCAAGAAGGTATAATGGGGGAGATGAACCATCTGGGATGTTGATAAAGGACACAACTTTCGACATCACCCATCACAATTCGCTAGATTCCCATGTTCTTGAATTTTCAAATAGGGATTTGTGTCAACCATCTGATGGTAAGGTTGAGGCAGAGAGTTTAACTTGTCGTGATTTTGGTACTGAACAACCATCTGATAGTAAGGTCAAGGCAGAGAGTTTAACTTGTCGTGATTTTGGTACTGAACATGTTACCAGTGACTGTGTTGATTGCTTAGGCCAAGGTAATGAAGAATGCCAAGATGAAGAAAGACCAAGAAGTCAAAACAGCGGGCATCAGACAGAGGAGTCTGGAAAGGGGTATTCTTCGCAGTCTAAAGACAAAACTCGTAATTCTAGATCTGACATCGATAAAGTTAAGAACAAGATTTCGGATTCTTCCTCTGAATCTGTAGGTCATTTGCATTCCTATGAGGAAAAATTGAAGAGCGGAAGAAACAAGTGCGACGAAAAATTTGTTACTCCTGATAAGGTGGACAAGATATTCATTTCTAATAAAGATTCTGCTGAAGGAATATTACGTGACAGTGGAAAAGGAGAAAGTCAGTTAAAATTTGGAGGCCATAATGGTTCAGATGTTAGATTAGATGTTACTAAAGGCCACGATAAAAGACATAACCTTCAGCGGGACCATGATGACGAAAAATCATCCAGAAAGCTTCTATCAGGTAAAAGCGACCAGGTCGGGGTTGAATCCTCCAGTAGAGGGAAGTCACACTCACTACCACCCTTGGCAAGAGGTCAGGCTGAAACAGTAGCAAGTATTTCTGGATCTAAGAAAGAAAATGGCGAAAACATTTTGGCAGTTGATGCATTTGAAAATTGTGATTCATTAAAGGCACATAGACAGGGTAAAAAAGCTGAGAAGAATGAAAGCCAGTCCTTTAATATGAGACATCCTACTCCAGAAGCGAACAAGGGTCGAGATCTTGAAGCCCCAAGTCCTATTCGAAAGGATTCCTCCAGTCATGCTGCTACGAATGCGTTAAAAGAGGCGAAGGCCCTTAAACACATGGCAGATCGTCTCAAGGTTTAGACAAATCCTTTTGAATCTGACGTAGTTATTGACATTGATATGTTACCTGTTTCTTACATGGTCCTCTGTTGCAGAGTTCTGGATCAACTGAAAGTACAGGCCTATACTTTCAAGCTGCCCTCAAGTTCCTTCATGGAGCATCTTTGTTAGATTCTGTAAACTGTGAGAGCACCAAGCATAATGAGACAATCCAGTCAACTCAAATGTATAGTAGCACGGCTAAACTCTGCGAGTAAGTTACAAGCAAAGGATTTATCTGAGATATCTATGCTTAACATACTTAAATTTTTTTTATGCATTTATTTTCTGTGTTGATTTTGTGTTTGAGGGTGACGCTTGTGAATCTATAAGTTGTTTCAAATGTATTTATTTTGCTGCGCACTTTGTGCTATTTCTGTGTTCTCTTTTAATGGATGAATGTGAAAAGCCATTGAATGCGTGGATTTTAAATCTGATGGTTCAGATTGTTTGTTTGTCACTTTTAGTATAATCTAACTACTTCTTTAATGGAATTTTTAAGGGCTTGTACAGCTCCTTTCATGTTGACTAATTGTTTTTTGTTTATAGGTTCTGTGCTCATGAATATGAAAAGTTGAAAGACATGGCTAATGCTGCTCTGGCCTATAAATGCATGGAGGTCGCATACATGAAAGTAATTTATTCTTCACATACTAGTGCAAGCAGGGATCGGAATGAGTTGCAAACTGTTCTACAAATTGTTCCACCTGGTAATTTGTGACAAAATATTCTTATTAGGATTGCAAGCTAATTCACAGAGTCAGTATTTAATTGTAAGATTAGCAGGCATGTTTCGAGATGAAGGACATGGATTAGGATTACTGCTTTTTCGTGCTTTTCGTTTATTCTCATAATAATACAAACCACTTTGTTCCCACAATTTGATAGGAAAATAATGATGCTGCTTAAAAATTGAACTAAGTTTGCCTTTAAAAATCAGAAATTGATCTAGTTTTACTTTTTCTTCCGGACAAAAAGTGTTAAAGACTGGACTCTCAAATGATTTGTCTTAACTACATGCTAATCTGTTTGGGCAGTAATAAGCAGCATAAAAATAATTGATAATGGAAATATGTTTCCAAGGACTTCTCTGTTGTACAATGGAATGCTCAATTTTATTGTACTTGTAGCTGTATAGAAATTTCTTTGCCATTTTTGTTTTGGCGAAGTGCTTGCTTTTCTTTCAGGAGACAACTTTCGCAATAGTTATTCTCTTTTGTAATTTTCATATTACCATTTAGGTGAATCTCCTTCCTCTTCGGCTTCTGATGTTGACAATGTGAACAACCAATCAACTGTAGACAAGGCTGCCTTTGCCAAAGGTGTTGGCTCTCCTCATGTTGCTGGAAGCCATGTTATCACTCCCAAAAATCGTTCTAGTTTTACAAGGCTACTTAACTATGTAAGCACAATTTATTACTCAGTGCACGACAAGACTTCTCACAGTAATTTGCATAAAGAGTCTACGAAAAAGTGTCTTTGAAATATTTGAGACAGTTTCCCTCCAAATTTTGGAAAATGAGATACTTGTTGAACTTTACCCTAACCATTAGCAGCGGTGTATGGGTGTAGCTCTCACATTGAGGGTGAACCACACTTAATATGTGCTCGTGTGCTTTGCTTGTTTTATTTTTTGATTATGACTTAATCCATAACTATAACAATGATTCCAAACCATTATCACCAACTCTGGTTTATAGTTTTCATACTTCTCGTAGCCGGTAACTTTTAGGGATTTTCTGGGCTTCAACCCCATCAAGTTCACATGCATCTACTTGCAGTACAAAGCTGCAAACCTTCGCACAATGGCTTGGCACTTCTCTATGTGTCTTTCTTTCCCTGGGATATCTTTTTGGTGGTGGGGTTGGAGGAATATTTTGTGTCTTACATCAAATTCTTACTTATTTTCAATTTTTATAGGCACAGGATGTTAATTTTGCTATGGAAGCCTCCAGGAAATCGAGAATTGCTTTTGCTGCTGCTAATCCAAGACTTGGAGAAACACAACATAGAGAGGGTATCTCTTCTGTAAAAAAGGCACTTGATTTTAATTTCCAAGATGTGGATGGATTATTACGCCTTGTTCGGGTTGCCTTGGAAGCCATCAGTCGTTAAACTACCTTACACTTAAAAATAAGCCAATCCAAGGTCTCTCACTTCTCCATTTCCTATTTGTCATTGAAGGAAGAAAATAAAAAAGGATCTCTTATTCACCAAATTCTACATACTAGGAACTCAATCAAATAAGCACCCTTGTATATCTGTACAGTAATGGTTTGTTTGGTTGGGTGGATTTTGTATGGCTTGGGCAGTATGAGAGGAAACAAAAAAACTAAAATCTTACCTATTTTACTGTCCGGTCCAGTATGGTGTACTATACATGTGTATTCTTCAATATGGTTGCTTCGTGGATGAGAACAAGTGCCTGGAGTTTTTCAAGCATGGTTGATGTTGTCCATAAACTTCTGCATGATTTCATGGTTGAACACATGGCCCAACTAACAATGTTTAAAAGATTGGGAAACCTGATCACTTGAGAGAGTGGAATTCAATACCTTCATCTCCATTATTGTTGGATTGTTGGTGGAGTTCGAAAGATTTTGCCTCCAAAAAATTACCTTTTCCTTTAATACCGGCAGAACTAAGGAGTTCATGCCAAACTCATGAATATAAATTCGATCCTATTGACTCACCGAGTTCCAGCACAATCTGAGGTGAACACAACACTCAGGTTAATTTCCATGTACATTTTATTATTCGCATGTGCCACATTTGTACTTTTTATTTATCTGATCTTATATTTTCTGATTTTTAATGTTTTTGCAGGTTTTGTCTTACACTTTCTACTCTCACAATGGAGACAATTAACTTGCATTGTTCATAAAGATATAAGTAGAGATAAGTTGCTAAAACGTGGATTGAGATGATTCCTTCAGAGGTGTGTTATATTTACTTGTACAAAGTTGATTTTTAAGCAATTAAAGATAGAATTTCATCTGTTGAAGTTCCTCTGGTTTATGTTGCAATTATCATTTCTGTTAATAAACATATCATATGATTTTGACCTTTCATCAAGTACAGTTGACAGGTAATTTGCTAATTGTCTTCATTGAATTCTTAAAATATGCATCTGTTGAAATAAGTTTGAATGGGGAAAGGTTTGAAATAAAATGTTCAGCTAATTTTGGAACGTGTTTTGTTGGATTAGTTGTTGACTTTATTTTTGCCCTGAAAAAAAAGAGCCATTTGTTTATGAAATGCCATTTGGAGTTTGATGGGTAGTTATGGACATGAATAAACTCTAACTAACATATTGTTATATATATTGTCAATTTCCTCTCCATTTATCCCTTAAAATTGCACGTGGATGGCCACATCTTTGTCAAACATGGGTTCTTGTGTAAGAATCAGGGTACTAAAAGGCGCTCTTAATCCCAGCCTAGGCACTGGGCTTAAAGAAAACGTCCTGCTTAGGGGCAAGGCTGAAATAAAAGACTGTAGACTCTATGTTGATTGTCTAAGGTTCGCCTAGACGGAAGAATGCAGACATGTTTTTGTGGATCGATATTCCGGAGTCTAGAAGATGGGAGCTCGACCTGATCAGTAAATCGGTAGTTAAAGGAATGTTCATGACAGCCAAGAATGTGAAAATGACGACATCCATCGTACCTAGCAATGACTCGAGTGGAGAAATGTTCCCATCCGTGGCCCGAATCCCTAATTAGACGAGATATTTTGTCATTCCTACATAATATTATAATTTTCCCTATTTAATTTGTTCAATTTCTCGCAACTTTAAAAATTCAGTACAACTAGATCATTCGTGATCACGATAAACAAAGTAAAGACAAATGTGAAAATAGGGGAACATGTATGAATCAAAAGTAAAATTCTCTATTTTCGAATTTAAAAAAATATTCAAATAAATTCTCCCTTGAGTCCAATATTTCATCTCCATCTTAGAGGCCTCAATCACTGGAACTTATTTTCTTAATAAATTTGTCAAGTTTGGATTGCGTTGATGTTAAAGATTGCTGCTAGACACTTGTTATCAACCTCATCAACTTAAAACTCCAATAAAATTTGCAAAGGCGTCGAAGTGAAACTATTCGACTTTATATATATGGTAAAAGGTTTATGATTCTTATTAAGATTTGAAAGTTGTCTTAGAGCGCCAACTTTGTTAAAGGAGAAACTCAAACACTTAGGGGCTGTTCTTTTTTTGAGTTTTGAGTTTTGTGTTTTGAGTTTTGAATTCATTTTGAGTTTTGCGTTTTGAGTGTTCATTTTGAGATTGTTGAAAATATGTTCTTTTTGGCATTTTAAAAAATTGTTTGAAAACACTCAAAACGCATTTTGAAAATTTTGACTTGATTATAACTGAAAACACTCGAAACGACATCGTTTTGTGTTTTCTTTGTAAATTTTTAACTTGTTTTCAAAAATACGTTTTAGAAAATAGGAAAGAGAATGCATTTTCACTGTTTTGAAAAATCGAAAACAGAAAACGATTTGAAAATGGTAAAGAGAACATGCCCTTATACTCTGATTAATACTTTTTACTTGACCAATGTCAATTTTTGACCCTTAACCAACCATTCTGCATTGAATTATTAGGACAGTAAATAATTGTCACATTCAATGAATTTTGAACGCTTATTAGGCTAGCTATTTATTTATAGTGCCTAGATTCACAAAACAACTTTGAGACTAGTGACAGTCCGAAGATGGAGTTTAACGTTGGAACTAAATTATTGTTTGTCAGCCATTTGTGTAAAACAAATATTTTCTTAACCTAACCTAATATATTCATTACTTAGAGAATTATTTTGCGGACGGAGGAACAAAGGAAGTGGATGAGTCAAAAAGACATATAGAAAGCAACTTTCACTACAAATATCTTTGGAATATGCATGCATGCATATATTCCTTCTTGTTCATCTCTATCCAGGATTACATTTTAAAATCTTGACTTAATCCAAGGAATTTGAGAAGAGGGAATTTTGAATGGTCGGTTGGGTGGCTGCAGATAACTGGTTAATTCAATAAGTTGTTGAGCTTTTGACCAAATGCTAGCTTCAGGGTTTTTTGTTATGATTCTATCACATCCAATTTTGATGTCATGTTGTGAGGTAAGCCTGTGATGTTCCAAATTAGGCACTACTTTATCCATGTTCGGTTTTGACTGCACAACTCTAATTCTTCAGTCATCGCAGTGGGTGCGCCGGCCGCCATTATTCTACTATTGGTACAAATTAATTTATTCAAGATATTATCAATTTCTCAATTGGTCCACGCAATATTTATTAAATAGATATTAAAAGTTAGAAAAATATATATAAAAAAAATGTGGAATAGTACAACCGATGAGTTGCGATGGTGAAAAACAAATTATATATAATTGAATCTTGTGTATATCATTATTACGAATAGATCAGCACGTGTGACATTTCTCACTTGTGAGTGAGTAGCTAATCTTATAACCTAAAATATATTGATATTTAAATGAACGCGTTGATGTTTTGTTAAGAAAACAAAACATTGGAGACCTGCTGAAAAAATTCCGCACAAATAACTATCTGAGCGTCAGTAGTTAATCTCTAACGTTCAATAGTGAAATTGGTCTTTCGACTTGAGGTCATCATAGTGCCTTATATGAAAACAGTCGTACTTTAGTGAGTCGCTAATAATGTATCGTTTGGATATGTCCAGAATCAGATGAATGTTGTAAATGATCAATCAAGAATTTGTCACTATTAGATAGTAAGTAATTATAATCTACGTCTTATTCGATTAAATTGATATCGAAATTATAGGTCAAGGTAAGTATGTAAGTCAAAACGAGTTTATAATATTATTAACTTGGATAAAGCTACTTTGCCACAAAGATTTGATAGAAAACTTGATATAATTGCACATGACAATAAATGATTTGATGGAAAAGTTGATTGTATTTTAAATTGTCCCATGATAAAATGTCACTTGGCATCATGTCAAATTATATGTTAACTTTGATGTTCATGTAAAATGATTAATAAACACAAGAGTGCAATGAAAAATATGATCGATAATCGAGATTGACACACTTACATATCTCGTAATTGATTGACCATATTAATGAAATGATTATAGTTTCACGCTAAATGAACAAATTTGATTTTGTCACATCACGTGATATTTCTTATCACTGTATTGCTCTAATACATTGTTAGATGTCATTGGGGACGAAATAGATGTCATTGGGGACGAAGAACGTGAATTAATTAATCTAGATGTATTAACGATAAATTAAAAGAGAGTTTTAATTTATCATATTTTGATTAGATTAAAATAATAATTTACGTCGTCCAACATCGTGATCTGAAACTTAATGAATCACCCACGAAAGTGATAACTAAAAGAATGATATTATGAATTAATTAATTGATAAGTATTGAACATTTGTATAATTAATTAATTGAATTGCTTATTAATGGACTTAAGTTAATTGATTATATTAATTAACTTATGGGCCATTTTAATTAATTAGATTAATTAAATATTGGACTGAATTATATTTAATGGGTATGTCAACCACAATTAATTATCTGTAAAGAAATAATTAGAGCTTGAATTTTTCACATGTTGTTACAATAGCAATTGAGATTGCAATTACAATTTAACACATATATTATAATATCTTAATATTGCTAGCACAAGAAAGAAAATCCATAATCTCTCATTTTTATTTTGAAATTACGAGGTTCGATCCAAACTACACTTAGAGGGGGGTGAATAGGTGATTATGCGGAATTAAAAAATAATAATTAAAAAACAACAAGTCACTTTTAATTATTTCTAAATGATTAATCAAACAGTCCAGTTTTCATACGTTGAAATACCGCAATTATATGAAAACAATAAAGAAACAACATGAATGATCACGGAGATATCCCAACTAGGTAAAAAGCCTGTGCACTTTGCTAGTCAGAAATCCACTATAAACGAATTTTGAACTTACAATCCGCCAGATACAATTAACACTAGTACTTTTCGACCTCCTGATTGCAATTCTCACAGACCTCCAGGATTCCGTGCTCATACACCAACTCCCAGCTGCAATTTCTAAAGCCCTT